AGAGAGACAGAGAAATGGCTCTTTTCTGACAATGCGACATTCATTCTTTTTCTTCTTATTGTCCGTATAAATTAAACTTTAAAGGGCAAGTCGGTTCATAAAGCGCACACTGCAGTGCAGATCTAGGCTGAGGGAAACTCCCCCTTGTCACTGCTACATTATGTATTATGGATTTCCCTGCTGGCATCCTCTGGGAGTCTGTATTTCTGTGGTAATGGCCGCAGGAGATGCCTGCTGTAGAGTGACTGTTTATTTACTAGTCTCACGAAGGACTGGGAGGGTTGATTATCTTTGGATAAAACACACAAATGAATATTAACAAGGCACACAACTTGTTTATGTCTGTGTGCCGCACACCTTTTGGTAAACAGTGCAGGAGTCTGAAATAAAAAGGATTTCTGGTTACATTTAAAATGTCAAACACAATCTGACTCATCCATCCACACACCAAGCAGCTGTATTTGTCTGTTTTTGTTCAACACACTGAGCAATCAGCCGCAAAATGGAAGTGAACTCTTTAATATAGTAACTCGTTAAAAAAACAGAACACCTACTGGGATCATTTGAAGGGTTAGAGATATGACTGAATAATAATTTAATCAAATTAAAAATGTTGCAACAAATCTGAAAAAATTAACAAATGCTTTTTGCCAGTCTGTGAAGCTGAGGGTCAGACACCCACCTTTACCCACAGCCCAGCCTTCATTGCTAGGCTCAGCCTTAGAGATGGCGCCGAGTAGAGTCGCTGCTCATTTGGCTCAGAAGGAGCTGCTTGAGGTGGTTCCCTCTGGAGGTTTTTCAGATATTTGCCCAACCTGGAAGAAACTCTGGGTTAGATCTAGAACCGACTGGGAAGGTCATTTATCTCATCTGGCACTGGAACCCCTCGGAATCCTGCAGGAGGAACTGGAAAGTGTTGCTGAAGAAGGGCGTCAACAACATCCTGTTTACCCTGCTGCAAAAAGTGACCCAAGGTCAGATAAGAGGAAGATAATGGATGGATGCTTAGCCATCATACCATTAAGCAAATGAAAATAACGCAGTATGATTGTTTTACAAGTAGGCTACAGCAAAATCCTATCTGTAAAAAAAAAAAAAAGATCAGTCTAATAATTATTCTAATCAATTACATCATTTGGCTTTTGTGCAATCTTCTTTGTTTCTCCCCCAATACTTGTTCTTAAGTTTTATCAATGAACACCAAACAGTTTAACACACACACACAAAACAAAGTTGTGTGTAGTCTTTTCATTCCTGGTAACAAAGGGTAACACTTGGCTCAGAAGCTTTGATACAACTGTGTAAAATACACTTTCTGGCAATTACAAGGAACTTCTCCAGAAGGCTTTAATGCGCTGTGGTTGGGGAGGGGAGGCTTAAGAGGAAAACGCCAGGATTTTAACATTTTATCTTTATTTTAAATATCTCATTATGTTCTTTGGAAATCATTGTCCAGAACTTGGAAATCAATTGATGCTTCCTCCCTATCAGAATGGCACTTAATGCACAGATGAGAGAGAGAGAGATTTGTCTTGTGCAAAACAACAGGAGTGATATGTAGTCCATAACAAATCTTATACTGAGTCTCTCTCAGTCTATTAAATGTAGAGATAGGTTTGACCAGGGCTTCCTGCCAGTCATCCTTTATAAATGCTGTTTAAATCCATTTCACTTCCTTTATGGGCAACATTTGGCAGCTTGTTTGCATCAGAGGACGTGAGTAGAGAGTTAAATGTGTTATGGTGTGTGGGATATTTTCAGCCCTTTGGACCGGAGCATCATTTAAACACCACAGCTTACCTGAGTGTTGTTGCTGACCATGTTTATCCCCCCAAAAAAGAATAGTAATATAATAAGTATAGTCATTTTTCTAACATATTTGATGAATCTTAGTCATCCTAAAGGTTTCACAAATGTTTTCTCCTCTTGTGTTTCTCAGTATATTTCTTTCTGTGTGGCGCTTCTGTGCTAAAACGCTTTTGTAATGTCTGAACTGAGCCACTGAGAGGCGATACAGAGAAAACAGAGTCCCGCTTCAGGCTGCGGGTCCAGCTCTTCTCTTCGCTCGTCATCTGCGAACAAGAGGAAGTGAACAGGAACAATAACAGCCGACACACCGGAGACCACAAACAGGGCAGACAGCAGTGTTATCTGTGACGGCAGCGATGGAGGAGTATAACTCTGGAGAGGAGGTACGGCTTTCTTTATGAGCGAAGTTCATCCAAAGGTCCGCAGCCAGCAGTAAACTTACAGCTAAATTAGCTAGCTGGTAGCTTAGCCTGTTAGCTAGGTGTGGTCCTGTTATCAGATTTATTTAAGGCGATAACATTTATTTTAATTTAACCCAGCCTCAAATACAATGAAGGAAAATGTGATCATGCAGTTAATCATCTGATATTAATATTAATAACAAATAATACAGCTTTCTCTATCCTCCTGATGCAAACATCCTTCATTGTGGTGCACTGACATTGCTTTCCAGGTCACAGGGATAGGAGACGAGGAGGCACAAATTGGAGAAATGAGAAAAGCCTTCAGGGGTGTCCAACTCCAGGCCTCAAGGGCCGGTGTCCTGCAGGTGTTAGATTTGTCCTTGATCCAACACAGCTGATTTAAATGACTAAATTTCCTCCTCAACATGTCTCGAAATTCTTTAGTGGCTGGTAATGAATAAATCATTGATATCTAAAACCTGCAGGACACTGGTCTTTGAGGCCTGGAGTTGGACACTTCTGTGGTTTGGTCTCAAATCTCCATTATACAAAGCAATAAATCCTCTGCTATACAAACAGGAAGCGCCGTAGGACAAGAACTTCCTGCTCTCATTAAAAATAAAATAAAATGGTTATTAGTTACTTGCAGAGGTGAGGGCAAGCTGACTCATTTAGTAATACTTAGTTTAACTGTGATTTGATTCAAAAATGTAATTAATGCAACTTTAATTTCAAAGCAGAATGTCGACCTTAATGAGAGTTCAGTGGTGCGTTTATGGGCACGTTATTTTAGAGAAAATACACACGCATATAAAATTACCGAAGCGTGCATTTAAAAACAAAACAAAACAAATGAAACATGGACTTGAATTTTTATGTGATTTATTTAGGATGCTTTCCAGTTCAGATTATTTTTACTCAGATTAAAATGAGGTTTTTAACTTTTTCGTTTTAAACCAGCTGCCTATGACATCACCAGGTTTAATCAAAATGTACTTTTTGAAGTTTTCGCCAGTGAATTGTCAGAAAACAAATAAAACATCCAGGATACAAATGCACGTCTCTGTTCCTCTGTGTCATAGGAGTTCATTTGTGCAGTTTTGCAGTTGAAACTATGACATATCCTATGACATTGGTGTCAAAGTTGCCTGTAAAACAGATTTTGGTTTGAAATTCTCACTTGTCATTTTTAATCTCGTGTACTGGGAAAAATATGATGAATTAAAAAGGGTCAAATTTCAGCCTGCCCTGTGTACTTCAAGGACCTGTAATGAGGACTATTTTTGTAGCATGAACATCAGATTTCGCGTCACTTGATTAAATATACGAAAATGACCGCACACAAAATCTGTTGATGTTGAGGGATTCAGGTGGAGGCAGTGATTGAACATTAATGGAATAACCCGGATCCTCCTTGTGCTTCTTTTAAAACTGATCCTGCAGGTCAGCTTTAATCCCGATGAGATCAGTGTCTCGGTAAAAGAGGTATGTTCTCTAATCTTTGGAAACATTCATAATAAACAGTATTTTAAATGCAATCAGATGGATGGTTGACTTCCTGTTTACTGATTTCATCTCAGTGCGTTGAAGGCGTCATCGGTGGAACAGATTATAACCAGAGTAAAGTCAACCAGTGGACGGCCAGTATAGTGGAGCATTCACTCACTCACCTGGTGAAACAAGGGCGGGCGTTCAAATACATAGGTGAGCAAGTCCCTGTGTTCGATAACGTGAGCTTCCAGGACATCAAGCTTATTTGTAGCGTTTGTGTGTGAAGGTAAGCGTGTGTTTGTTGTAAAGCCGCTCTCTGATCTGTCCCAGTGAACTGTACGATCATGCAGAAGAGCGGCGCTGGGCTCCACACAGCCAACTCCTGCTACTGGGACACAGCCACTGATGGTGAGACACTCAAAAAAACAAACAAAGATTATTTCAAAATCATTTAAATCCAATATTTTTAATTGGAAGTGGCACAAATGATAACACATTAGAGTGATGTGCCACTTTTTCTCCTCCACATCCAAGAGGAGAAAATAATCAGTTTTATCTAGTGATTTTTTTTTTTTTTTTTTTACTGATTTAAAACAAACAAAAAATAACCACAACAGTCAAAATACAGAGGTACTCAATCACCCACAGCATAAAATAGAGGAATGATCTTATAATAAAAATATAAGTAGATGGCCGGACCAGCATAGACCTGCCTGCAAGCAGATGAAATCATAATGAAACCTAAACGCGTTCTTGTAATTATTAATCCCATGGAGGAAATTAAAACTCCAAAAATATTTTCAGCACATGGAACAACTTAACTGTTTGATCTACACTCTGGACTTCGTCACCAGTTACTGGACTTCTAATTTTTTCAGACTTTCATTAAAACTGAAACGTCCCTGTCGACAGGGAGCGCTCCTAAAGAAGTTTCTGGGACTGCTTCACCCACGACCAAGGTTCATGGAGAAGAGGATAAGTTAAAGGCTCAGTTTCCCACACATGGATTAAGCCTAATCTTAGAAAACTTTTATTATGATTGCCATTGAAAGAAGTTTTTAGTCAAGGACTAGGCTTAAATAGACTGGAGAGACTGATCTTTTATTCTTTTCTCTATGTAGCTTAGAAGTTGGAGAAGTTGTGCCAGAAACCTCCTTTCTGTTTTTTGTTTTCAAATGTTAGAATAAATCACATTTTCTTGCTATAATGCAGAATCTCCATTTAACCTAACATACACAGAAGCTGGAGAACCCACACAGGCTCAGAGAGCGCCCAGAGAGGGGGTGAATTCAAACCCAGGACCTCCTTGCTATAAGGCAACAGTGCTAACCACCACACCACTGTACTGCCAACTTGGAGCTATAATTGTGGAAATAACAATAATAATAGTTAATATCCGTGTTTGCATTTTACATATGACACTGATGTTACATTTTGGATTAAACCGGGTTAATTAATTTATGAGAGGTGGGTTGTAACACCCCCCAACACTCAGACCAGATTTGCCTCCCTTATGTTGATGCATGGTGCCATGGTTGTTGGTCAGTTTTTTTGATCTATTGAATAACTTGCCCACAAAACTGGTTTATAAATGGAATCATAAAAACATGTATTTCATGTATGATTTGGAGTAATTTCCTCTGCTTGTCTGTGGGTTTTCAGGGAGCTGTACTGTCAGGTGGGAGAACCGCACCATGTACTGTGTGGTCAGTGTGTTTGCTGTAGCTGTGGCGCTGTGACAGCCCTGCGCCCACCTCTCCATCTTCGAACACTGTCATGTCTCAAACTTTGCTTGAATGACACTGAAGATCCTCTGATTATATACCCTCTGATAGACGCTGACCTACAAGTATCTATTTCTCCCTGCAGGCAGGAACAACAATTTTGGTTTGTGAGTTGGCAGCCTGTGAATACGTGCAGGTCTGACAGTGACAAAATGTTGTTTGGTCTGGACTGGAGTCATGATCTGCAAACAGACCTGTTTGGAAAGTACTTTTCAAACATGCTCAGGTGTTTTCTTTGGCCCAGAAGTACCACATGTTGACTGTATTTTTTTTTTCCCATTGTGTAAAAACAGATGACTGCTCTTTGTGTGCAGCAGGAAGTTTACATTTGTGTTTTTGACTGAAATATCTGAACATTCATTGGATGGTTTCTTATTAAATTTAGCACTGATATTCATCCCTCAGGAAAAACTATTTTAATTTTTAATTTTAATTGATGACATTCCTTCAGTCTCAACTGTGCTTTGTGCTGCTAATTAGAAAATGTTAGCATGTTTGCAACTTTGTCTCCTTCACTATGTTCCCTTAATAGAAACTGAACTACGACTATAAGAAGCTTTGTATGTTAGAGAAGCTCTGTTTAAGTAATCACTACAGTATACTGTATTCCTACTAGTCTATATTAATATTTTAATAAGTTATTGAAATGTTTAGACAAAACAACAGTGTTTTTCCTGTGATGCATTTAATGGTCAGTCCCTGTAACCAGGATTTTTTTTCTTTTTCTTTTTTTTTTTTTTTAAAGATCTTCTGTATTACTGTTGAGTTCAAGACTGTCTTTGTTGAATTTTGTCCAATAAAGTCTTTAAAGATGTTCCACAGTGTGTTTTTGTGCGCACTGGTAAAGAAGCTGAAGGCCAGCACCTTTGGATGAGAGGATGGATTTAACCAGTGTTGGAGTAAAGCGTACTTGGTTTTTCACTCTAGTTTCTGGTCTCTTCATAGCACCACATTTGCTTAAACTTGCCTTCAACTCAGAGTAGCATATTTTTGTATGCCACTTGGAGCATTGTGTATGCATTTCTGGCACTGCTCTGGAGTGATTCAGAGCGTACCTGGCTCAGAGAACTTTTCATATTAGTCATGTGGGGTTCCACAGGGCTCAATACTTGGGCCTCTGCTATTGGGAAGGATGACTGCTTCATTCAAATTTGAATTGAGTGTCTTGAGAAACTAAAAGTTTGGATGGCTCTAAATCTTAAGCCTAAGTCTAAAATTTTAAGAGGTGATTGTTTTTGTTTCTGATGTCACCGGTGGGACTTACCCTATTGCACAGTATGGATAGCCTACTGTCACAAACTTTTGTTTTAGGATGGACAGCGACTTTAGACCGGATGGTCAGATCAGTGCAGTGGTGAAATCCAGCTTCTTTCAGGTGAGACAGTTGGTGAAGATTTAAAAAAAACAAAACATTGTTGAAATCTAATTCTAAAACCATAATCCACATCTTTACCATGGGATTACTGTAATTCTTTGTATGTTGGTGTTAGCCAGTCCTCCCTGTCTCATCTTCAGCTGGTGCACAATGCTGCCACACACTTTTTAACTGAAACACAAGTTATTCTCAACATTTACGTCAAATTTATTTTTATTTCTGATTAAATATCCTGATTTTCTCTGTGTCCACCTCCACCCCACTGCAAAGTCTTTTATAAAGGGTGTGCCAATGCACCTTTGCTAAAGTAGATAATTAAGTAAACAGTGGGCGCCTTTAATTTGCATTTAGAGCATCCCACTAGCCACACAGATCCCTCCCAGGTCACTTCAGTAAGTCAGGATAGAGCAAAATTCACTAGTCATCTGCAAACGAGGATTTGCTAAAACAGGCAGTTTCACTGATCAACCACTAGAGGTCAGCACAGATTCACATTGCGTGACAGATCAAAATAATGCAAGACAATATTCACATATAAATATAAATTTAATTTCTTTTTTTTTAAAGTACGACTTCATATTTTCAGTGCCTCCTTTTGTGTCTCTATATGTTTGATGTGTATATTAATTTTTTTTGGCTTAAACAGTGCTTTTCTTATTTGTACAAACATAAGAAGCATTCATGTGATTCCCGAGGTCATCATCTCTCTGCAGACACGTTGCAAAAAGTAGTTAGTGCAAAAACAACCACAATCACATTCTCTCTCTTTCTCTTGCTTTCTTAGTACATTAAAGGTTGAAATAAGAATAAATACTTTTAACAGTTCAAAACACAGACTCTTTTTCAGTTAGATACAGTAAATGTTTCGCGTGCACTCAGTGTAAATTTTCCAACTAAAGAGACAGACAGACAGAAACACAGTTGACAGACATAATAGGCAAAAATAAGAAAAGGAAAATGCAAATACATCCAAACAAAGCACATCACTACAGCTGCTGCTGCTCAAAAAATGAACCAAACCACCAAAGTCCTTTCTTTTTTTGTGTAAACGTGCAAAAGCCATTGGGAATGTCCGTGCTTTACAGTAACAGTATGTCTGGCGATGGAACAGGCTCTTTTACAACGTGTGGCGATTAACATCTCATCATCAAACACGAGCACATCACGAAAGCAGCGCGTATTAATCTTAAAGCTCTTATTAAGGAGTACAAAAGCATAATTGTGGCCAAAAAAAACTAGCACGGGGCCGGCTCTCCCCCTCCTCTGCAGAGTAACCAGTTACACCTTCGTCTGAGGCTCCACACATGCACGCCTCCATGCCAAAGAGACACTAAATACAATCACTTCAAATGCATTGGCTCCTTGTGATCAGTAAATGCAGCATATACGTGGACACGGTCTCCGAACCTAAAGAAGAGAGTGAGGTGATGGTGCCTGTGGGTTTTTTCTTGGTTTTAAAGGCTGCAGGATGAATTGTTGGCATGTAGTCTGATAAGACAGGCTGCGCGTTTACAGCAAGGATAGCTCTCACGTTAAGGACACATTTGCTTCATGTAGAATTGCAATGGATGTACGAGGGATCCATGTGGCACTTAAAAAGATTAAAGAAGGTTAGATAATGTCCTCTTAATGGCACGTAAGAATAATTCTGATGCGTTAAACGGTGCAGGGTACACCGTGTCTAATGTCGCCATTTATTCCACCTCCTATGTTGCTGTCCATTTCGTTCGGCGTGTCGAAGGTGGTGTCATTGAGCATGTCATACGTCGTGTCGTTAGGCATGTCGTCTGTGCTGTCGCTGGCTGTGTCGTGGGGCCGCTGTGTGGCTGGCTCTTTTGGCGCAGATGGGGTCGGGGCCTCCTTCATCATGGGCCGGTTCTGTGGAGAGCCAGAGCTGCACATCAGGCAGAGAAGTGAGGAGCAATCCCAAAGGCCCTGGGTCATGCTGGAGGAGAAGAGCCTCCGACATGGGTGGCAGAATTGGTAGAAGACCAGCATGAAAAAGATGGCGATGGCGTAGGCTACCAGCAGCTGCAGCACCAGCAGCGGGGCACAGATGAACTTGTAGATGTCTGTTTTATAGATGTACCAGAGCAAGAGCAGCGAGGCATTTTCCACAAAACGCAACATGTAGTACACGGCCATGCGATACCAGTTCTGGGACTTGTTGATGAGGTCTGGGTCACTGAGTTTCACCTGCACGGCAGACCAGCAGAACATGTTGATGCCGGCATAGAGGAACGTGAGCATGCAAAGCACGATGGTGGTTCCCACTCTGGTCAGAGTTTTTTCTATATTCTCAGGGAAAGGGGAGTGGCTCTGCCAGAACAGGATCCAGGGGTAGAGGAAGAAAACGAGGAAGTTCAGCAGAACCACGGGCAGGATCCAAAGCTGGAGCACCGAACTGAACAGGACCAAAACCACAACGCGAGTGGCGATCTCAAAGCTTCGCCACAGGAATATGCAAACATAAGCCATAGGCCGGACGTCCACTTCATAGTCATCATATTTGATCTTGATGGCCAATATGTTGCAGCGCAGGGCTCCATACACAATGGACAGGAGGGAGATCACCATCAGTGTGCCTGATATGCAGATAGAGACAGAGTCATTTTTTTAAAAAAGTTGGAAAAAATAAAACAAACAAATCTGCCTATAAATCAGTGAAAGCACGTCTCCAGTTTAGGATACTTTGCAGCTCATTCCATGTAAACACTGCTTCGTTCCTGAAAAACTCTTCTACCAAGGTGAGTGTGTACATGAAGTACTGCGTTACCAGATTTCTGAGAGAAAAAATATGATAATAGAGCTTTAAACTCACCATCTACTTTGTAAGGTACATCTGCTTAACTGGTAATTAAGATAAATATCTCAATCAATCAATCAATCAAAGCTTTATTCGTCACATGCAGGTTGCCCTGCAGTGAAATGGGACACCCCCCCCGACCTTACACATATAGCACAAACATTACATGGGGATACAGGTCGGAGATTGGTAGAATCAGAGAAAAAACATTGAAATGTACACTACAATGGGGAAAGTACAAGAGGAAAAAAAGAGACCCCAACTCATGCTATGCTTCCATGGTAGGACAGCATGAGAACAGGAAACAAAAAAACTCCTCTGCACAAAAAAGCACATAAATGTCCACAGCACAACATTGTGAAGACATGACAAGCCACAGGGGTGGGTGGGGGGTGAGGAGTAATCCGAAGCGAACACAGCAGCCGCCCTGCACAGCGCTACCATTCCAGCGCGGCACACAGACCCGCCGTGTTCCCTCGCAGGAAACACGCATCGAAGGCGTTGGAAAGGGAGGGGGGATGAGTGAGTGCCTATCAGTGTAAGTCTAAATGTATGTGTGCGCGTGTCCATAGTTCAGCTGTCGCATGCAGCAACTCAATTTAGGCATTCGTACACGATCAAAGCAACCTGCTGAAGTTAAACTAAGCATCAGAATGGAGAAGAAGGATGCTTGCGTTCGTTTTTCAGAAACTGCTAATCTACTGGGATTTTCTAACAACTGTCTCCAGGGTTTACAGAGAATGAAAACAAGAAAATATCCACTGATGACTATGAAAGCTGTCACACAGTGTTATCACTGCAGTGACGTTGGAGCACTGACAGAACGTCTCACTCAAGGACAGATATGACAGGCCACTGCAGAGTCATTGCACAGCTGGAAGAAAACAGACGTCCTGTGCATATAAAAGAAGCTTGGTATGAGTTTAAATTTCTGCTGTCAAAATTACTATGTTTTCTGTAATATTCGAGAACAGTAATAAGGCTGACATTTTTAATTTATTACAGGATAGACTGAATCACAGAGAGAAGTGGATGATACCATTAACTTGGCATTTTCTGCACGTGAAACTAATCTGTGATTAGAGATTGCTAATTGAAACAAATCAAAAGCAGACTGAAGGTGAGTCAGAGCCTAAGTTAAAGCTTTCTCCCCTAGGTACACAGTAACAAGGCACAAAGCAGAGATAGGCCTCTAAATACATACAGGCCTAAAGTTTTAGGTTATTTCTCTATTTATAAACCCAAAAAGGTTAAAAGAAGAACGACATATCACAGTTTAATTACATGCAACATAATTTTATACAAACTAGTTTTCTTTCATAAAATATTTTACACATGCTGAGCCATTAACATCCCATTTAACACTTGTTACGGCTCTGGGCCTTGGAGAGAGTGAGAGTACCCTTTTGTGCTTATGCAGATCACAGTGTGCCAGACCTCGCGGACGATTGGCTGCCTGGAGATCCCATGACCACTCCATGACCAATTGACTGGCTGATTGTCTGCACCGGGGAGTATAAAAGGCTGAAGATCCTTCACACTATGGTGAACTGCTGCTCTGAGGTGAGCATGCAGTGGCCTCCTTGTCTGCTTTGCATGTGAAGCTTTTTTGTTAAACCTGTTTGCTGTGTTGCCC